TTGCTATTCCGGGGCAATCTTCCAGAACCACTGCAAGCGTCGAAAGCGCGCCATGCTCTCCAGCATGGACACGTTTGATTCCCAACCCTCCTTGGTTGGGTATTCGTTTTGAACAGAACACTGCGGTCGCGTCCTCCCGCCCCCCCACCCGCCTCCTGCATCCGCCTCCCGCCCCCCCTCCTTCTTGTCTCCTCTTGTTTTGCCTGGGGGGGTGCGATCTGCGAAAGTGTCGCCACTTTCGGGGGCTGCTGGTGGGTCCAGCGGACTGAGGCACCGCGCGGATCTGAGCGAGACCTCCCCGTCCCTTGTTGGCTGTGATCTGCGAAGCTGTCGCCACTTTCGAGGGCTGCTGGTGGGTCCAGCGGAGTGAGGCACCGCACGGATCTGAGAGAGACCTCCCCGTCCCTGGGGGGCTGCGATCTGCGAGGCTGTCGCCACTTTCGAGGGCTGCTGGTGGGTCCAGCGGACTGAGGCACCGCGCGGATCTGAGCGAGACCTCGCCGTCCCTGGGGGGCTGCGATCTGCGAAGCTGTCGCCACTTTCGAGGGCTGCTGGTGGGTCCAGCGGAGTGAGGCACCGCGCGGATCTGAGTGAGACCTCCCCGTCCCTTGTTGGCTGTGATCTGCGAAACTGTCAACACTTTCGAGGGCTGCTGGTGGGTCCAGCGGGGTGTTGCACCGCGCAGATCTGAGCGAGATCTCGCCGTCCCTGGGGGGGGGGCTGCGATCTGTGAAGCTGTCGCCACTTTCGAGGGTGCTGCTGGTGGGTCCAGCGGAGTGAGGCACCGCGCAGATCTGAGCGAGACCTCGCCGTCCCTGGGGGGCTGCGATCTGCGAAGCTGTCGCCACTTTCGGGGGCTGCTGATGGGTCCAGCGGACTGAGGCACCGCGCGGATCTGAGCGAGACCTCCCCGTCCCTGGGGGGCTGCGATCTGCGAAGCTGTTGCCACTTTCGAGGGTTGCTGGTGGGTCCAGTGGAATGGGGCACCGCCTCAGATCTGAGCGAGACCTCCCCGTCCCTGGGGGGGGGCTGCGATCTGCGAAGCTGTCGCCACTTTCGAGGGCTGCTGGTGGGTCCAGCGGAGTGAGGCACCGCACGGATCTGAGCGAGACCTCCCCGTCCCTGGGGGGCTGCGATCTGCGAGGCTGTCGCCACTTTCGAGGGTTGCTGGTGGGTCCAGCGGACTGAGGCACCGCGCGGATCTGAGCGAGACCTCGCCGTCCCTGGGGGGCTGCGATCTGCGAAGCTGTCGCCACTTTCGAGGGCTGCTGGTGGGTCCAGCGGAGTGAGGCACCGCGCGGATCTGAGTGAGACCTCCCAGTACCTTGTTGGCTTTGATCTGCGAAACTGTCAACACTTTCGAGGGCTGCTGGTGGGTCCAGCGGGGTGTTGCACCGCGCAGATCTGAGCGAGATCTCGCCGTCCCTGGGGGGGGGCTGCGATCTGCGAAGCTGTCGCCACTTTCGGGGGCTGCTGATGGGTCCAGCGGACTGAGGCACCGCGCGGATCTGAACAAGACCTCCCCGTCCCTGGGGGGCTGCGATCTCCGAAGCTGTCGCCACTTTCGAGGGTTGCTGGTGGGTCCAGTGGAATGGGGCACCGCCTCAGATCTGAGCGAGACCTCGCCGTCCCTGTCGCCACTTTCGAAGGCTGCTGCTGGGCCCAGCGGAGCGAGGCACCGCGCGGATCTGAGCGAGACCTCGCCGTCGTTAGGGGGGCTGTGATCTGCGAAACTGTCAACACTTTCGCGGGCTGCTGGTGGGTCCAGCGGTGTGAAGCACGGTGCAGATCTGAGCGGTACCTTGCCATCCTTGGGGGGGCTGCGATCGGCGGGACCGTCGCCACTTTCCAAGGCTGGCGGGTCCAGCGGAGTGAGGCACCGCGCAGATCTGAGCGGGACCTCGCCATCCTCGGGGGGCTGCGAGCCTCACGACTGCCGCTCGCAGAATTATTGCGCCCATGTCACGTCACTACCTCTGTATAACGTGTCCCAGGCTACTCGTGCCCCGCATTGCGCAAGGGTTGGGTACGTTGCCAGGGTAATTCGTCTCGCACACGTGCAGTGGTCCACGTTCGTACACGTTCACCTTCTCATACCTCCTCCTGCCGCTCACGACTAGCACCCTGAAGAAAAACACGAGTACGTCGAAGTTTGTCCGTGTCCAGAATCGGGCCTCTCTTCCAAAACATGGCTCCTCGAACCAGACTCTGAAAAACGATTTGTTGAATCCTCCGTCTCGCCGTCGGAATGCAAAACCATCCTAGAATACACCATCCCGTTCGAGCCGGTGTCACTATGTAATCAGTGTAAAATTTGTCCACCCGTCTAGTTTGTGCCACTCTCCTAAACATCGGACCAACTATGTAGCAGAACCCTTGTATCTGACCGTGCCAGGCTGGTGATACAAAATTATCCGGGTGAAGAACCCAACCATACGCAACTGTGAAAACAACTTTGTGGGTGGCCCTTTCGGTGGAGCTCCTTATGGGGCCACGAACCGTGTGAGGCGTGTGTCAAAATGGGCGTAGGGTGCATGCGGCCTGTGCCACTGCGGCCTTCGGTGGAACTCCCTATGGGGCCACGAACCGTGTGAGGGGTGTGCACACGTGGGCGTCGTGCGCATGCGGCCTGTGCCACTGGGGCCTTCGGTGGAACTCCTTATGGGGCCACGAACCGTGTGAGGGATGCGCCAAAATGGGCGTCGGGCGCATGCGGCCTGTGCCACTGCGGCCTTCGGTGGAACTCCCTATAGGGCCACGAACCGTATGAGGCGTGTGCCAAAATGGGCGTCGGGCGCATGCGGCCTGTGCCACTGGGGCCTTCGGTGGAACTCCCTATGGGGCCACGAACCGTGTGAGGAGTGTGCACACATTGGCGTCGTGCGCATGCGGCCTGTGCCACTGGGGCCTTCGGTGGAACTCCTTATGAAGCCACGAACCGTGTGAGGGGTGTGCCAAAGTGGGTGTCGAGCGCATGCGGCCTGTGCCTCTGGGGCCTTCGGTTTAACTCCCCATGGGGCCACGAACCGTGTGAGGGGTGTGCCGAAATGGGCGTCGTGCGCATGCGGCCTGTGCCACTGAGGCCTTCGGTGGAGCTCGCTATAGGGTCACGACCCGTGCGAGAGGTGTGCCAAAATGGGCGTCGGGCGCATGTGCCATTGGGGCCTTCGGTGGAACTCCCTATGGGGCGGCGAACCGTGTGAGAGGTGTGCCAACATGGACGTCGGGCGCATGTGGCCTGTGCCACTGGGGCCTTCGGTGAAACTCCCTGTGGGGCCACATACCATGTGAGGGGTGTGCCAGAATGGGGGCGTCGGGGGCGCATGCGGCCTGTGCCACTGGGGCCTTCGGTGGAGCTCCCAATGGGGCCACGAACCGTGCGAAGGATATACCAAAATGGGCGTCGGGCGCATGCGGTCTGAGCCACTGGGGCCTTCGGTGGAACTCCCTATGGGGCCAATAACCGTGTGAGGGGTGTGCCAAAGTGGGCGTCGGGCGCATGCGGCCTGTGCCTCTGGGGCCTTCGGTTGAACTCCCGATGGGGCCACGATCCTTGTGAGCGGTGTGCCGAAATGGTTGACATGCAGGGAGCAGAGGCAAGGGATGGGAGGAGGGAGGGGGCAGCGGGAAGTGAGGTGACGCGGGGCGCTCTCTCTTCAAAACGAGGACCCAACACCACAGGATGGTTGGGAATAACGCAAGTTATCCTCGCGAAAGACCCAACCATACGCAATTCTAAATACCGCGTTGTGGTACCGATTTCGGTGGAGCCTCCTATGGGGCCACGAACCGTGTGAGGGGTGTGCCAAAGTGGGCGTCGGGCGCATGCGGCCTGTGCCACTGGCGCCTTCGGTGGAACTCCCTCTGTGGCCACGAACCGTCTGAGGGATGTGCCAAAATGGGCGTCGGGCGCATGCAGCCTGTGCCACTGGGGCCTTCGGTGGAGAGAGTAGATCTTAACCGTGGAGTTCAACACTACACTACGACACTACACTATCTTCACTCGTGTGGTGTCATGTCCACGCGACAGCGACACTACACTACGACAATACACTAAGGTTTAGTCTGGTGTCATAGTGCAGTGTCAGAGGATACCAGGTAAGACTACAGGACGGCTGGGGAGGGAGAGACGGACGACGTTGTCTTTCAGTTTGGTTTTCCTTAGGTGTTGCACACCTCGACTCTGCGAGACAGGTCTCTCCGCTGCGGTGTGGTAGTGTTGGAGGCGCTGGGGTGCGACACTACACGATGACACTACACTACGGCTGAGGAGGGGAGACGGAAGTCTTGTCAACTTGTTTTGATTCGGTTAGCTACGGTGGGGGTGGGAGGACTAGTTCGACACTACACTATCTTCACTAGTGTGGTGTCATGTCCACGCGACAGCGACACTACACTACGACACTACACTAAGGTTCAGTCTGGTGTCATAGTGTAGTGTCAGAGGATACCGGGTGCGACACTACACTATGACACTACAGTACGGCTCGGGAGGGAGAGACGGACGACATTGTTTTTCTGTTTGGTCTTTCTGAAATGTTGCTCACCTCGACTCCGCGAGAGAGGTCTCTCCGCTGCGGTTAGTGTGGTGTCATAGTGTAGAGTTGGAGGCGCCGGAGTGCGACACTACACTACGACACTACACTATCTTCACTAGTGTGGTGTCATGTCCACGCGACAGTGACACTACACTACGACACTACACTAAGGTTTAGTCTGGTGTCATAGTGTAGTGTCAGAGGATACCAGGTGTGACACTACACTATGACACTACAGTACGGCTGGGGAGGGAGAGACGGACGATGTTGTTTTTCTGTTTGGTTTTCCTTAGGTTTGCCTCACCTCGACTCCGCGAGACAGGTCTCTCAAGTGCGGTTAGTGTGGTGTCACAGTGTAGTGTTGGAGGCGCCGGGGTTCGACACTACACTATGACACTACACTACGGCTGAGGAGGGGAGACGGATGTTTTTTGTTCGGTTAACTACGGTGGCGGTGGGAGG